AGATTGTAGAGGCGCCTGGGTGGCTCAGTCGTTAAGCGTCTGCCTTCGGCTCAGGTCATGATCCCAGGGTACTGGGATCGAGTCCCACATCGGGCTCCCTGCTCGGCGGGAAGCCTGCTTCTCCCTCTCCCACTCCCCCTGCTTGTGTTCCTGCTCTCGCTGTCTCTCTCTGTGTCAAATAAATAAATAAAATCTTTAATAAAAAATAAAAAATAAAAGTCTGAGATTGTAGAGTTGTTGGCTTAATGTTTAAATCAAACCTTTCTTTCCTTCTGTTTCTGGGTAGGCTAAAGAGGCAAGTAATCTAAGTAAATGCTGATGAGGTCCTTTTTCTCTATCTTAAGTTTTATTCTGATGAGTAAATGGTATTCAAAGAAGTTTGTTCTGTGTTGTATGATTTTAGTCAAGATAGCTTAACTAAAATCATACAACACAGAACAAAGGTCAAGATATTCTGGCCTACTAAGAATAGGATGAGGGAGAGAAAATGGTAATATAATAATCTTTAAAAATTAAAAATCTAAAAAAAAAAAATTAAAAATCTAACTAAATTGCATGCCACACATAAACCAAAAAATAAAATGGATGAAGTTAACTACTATCATAAATAATAGAAAAGCAAAGTTGAAATTTTTTTCTAATTAGCTGGAACAACTCATGTTAAAATAAGTTTTATTGACAGTAGAGAAGAGTACATAGGAAACTTAGTAACAGTTTCTAAATAGATAATCTTTTTTGTTGTTTCTTTTTTTAAATGTAAGAAGATTAAGATTAAATTGCCTTTCCAAACCATTGCCATAGAATTTCTCAAATTAGTAAGTAAGCAGATATACAGAAGCTTAATTTCTAATTTAAAAATGTGACTGCTGGCCAGTACAATCATGCTAAAAATAGAAAGAGGGCTTTCTTTAATGTCTATCAAAGATGACTTCCTTTGTTCTTGTTTGACCCCATCTGACCCAACTACTCAGAATTTTTCAGTATGAACCATATTGTATAGAATTATCCCTAATATTTGCAAGGAGAAAGAATACAATTTAGCCTGGTAAGCAGTAAAATAGAAGCAGTTTTAAACCTGAGTTGTGTTAACTGGCAATCAAATGTAATCTCCATTTTAATATTTATACATCTTATATTGTTATGAACCTATTCTTAACATGGGCTTTATTTTATTTGTTTCTCTCCTCCCTCACTTCTGCAAAAGGCAGAAGGGAAAGGATGTTTGTTATTCACACATTGTACCCCACTAACTGGTGTTATACATCTGGCTTCCACTGGAGAGCCCCTGACATCGCAGGGAACGGTGATTGAAATTCCACACATTAGCTTCAAGCTGGGGGCTCGTAGCTACTGCAGCATTGAAGGGGTCTTTTCCTGGCTTCTTTAAAATAAGCATGGTGATGGGATGATTTAAGGGAAGAACACCTCTCAAAGCACATGACCACTGCTGCGCTTCCTTGTGTCCTGCTTTCTTCATAACAGCTTGGCACTACATTTTTTCCCTGTATCTTAATGGGCTTGTGTGTGTACGAGTGGGAGGGGGTGGGGAGAGTTGTCAGTGGATGTTTATACATTATGCATGCATCTTTCAGTGTTAGAGTGATGTGCCTTCCCTTATGTGTCACAGGTTATGGTCACAGATTAAATCTTCTGTGTTCCTGAGAGATTGGACAGTCTCTCTTACTGGTGTGAGATTCATGTGTTTTGATGTTTACACCCTTAGTTGTTCTTCATGCTGCATTAAACATAAGTAGAAATGTTCTCCCATAAGAGTTAGCTTTTCATGTTGGGCTGAAAAAGTCTTCATTTCTGTGTAGCAATTCATGTTATTATAACCTATGGCTTTCAATTGTACCTCCCATAATGAAGAGCTGACTTTAAACACTGTGCTATTCTTGTTATGACCTAAGCATAAGGTAAGTCACTTCTCTAACTGTATCTAAAGATTGTGGTTGTTTGCTAATATTTTCTCAGCTTTGTTTAAAGAATTTTCACTTTTTTCCTTACCATTTATTACATGCTTTCCCCTCTTTTGTTTTCTGTTTCATGGCTTAAGATTTCTTACTGGACAATGTGATCTTCAGCAAAAATTATATTACACATGTAAACACATGTTGAAATGAATTAAATGAATTATTTGATGTCTGAAAGCAGTCTTGATTAGTAAATGAATACCTATGTTTTCAGTAAGTCTCTTGTGTTTTTCATTTCCTCCATTGACTGTAATATAATAATACTGTTTCTGCACATTATTTTAGTTTAATTCCAGCTGAAAGGGGAATTGTTAACACCATAAAGTTAGATTTTAATTATAGTAAAAAACATAATCAATAAAATAAAGTAAGAGATAATCCAGTACCATACCTTTCATTTTGTTTTTCAGACTTCCCTTTGTTTTTTTTTTTTCCATTGACTAAAAAGCCAGGGTAAGATTAAAAAAACAAAAAACAGTAAACTGTAAAACTTGGGACAGAACTGTGTTACTTTCTCTTTCTAGTCCATATGTGTGAGAACAAGAACAGTAATTGTTTCTTGACTTTATTCTTTCAAGTAAATCCCATTACATTGTGAGTTAGGTAAAATCTTCATATTGGGATTTTTATAAAATTAGGTAAATATTATAAAGATGACCAGTTTCATGATGCAAGAGAGAGGGCATCTGCTTGTGCATATATATTTTAAATGTCTTAAAATTATTTTCCTCAGTCTTTTTATATATACTGAAGATCACTAAAGTTAAGAAGTTCATGAAATCATTGATTTTAAGTGATTTCCCTCAATCTGGGTCAAATAGCCAATGTAATGTAAATGAAAAAACATTGGTTATACTGCTGTTAGCAATTTGTTCAGGAGACTGAATTGTTTTTTATCATCCAAATTTCTCTTCCCAAACCATGAAATATGTAATTCTAAACTCAGGCACCACAAAGCAAGATTTGGGATTTTATCATTAAATTCATGCTATGAACAAATTTTTTTAATTTTTAAGCCACCTAAGGCAGGGAGAGGGATTTTTTAAATTGCTGTTTTGGTTTGGTTTGACTTTTTTTGGTAAAGCTAGCTAGTTCTTCACCACCATTTCCATTTAGATGTTATATAAATCTGTTGAAACATTTGATGAGACAATTTGAACTACTCATCTGAACTGCTCTGTTCTTTATAAATCTCTTGTTTCTATCCACACACTAGCTCCACTCTAGATTGGAAGGGCTTAAAGATGAACTCTGGAGGAATAGAGGCTACGACTTAAGAGTAACTATTACTGATCAAAGGAGCTGCTTTCCATTTGCAAACACTGCTTTGCGCTATGGGTTTGGGCTCCTTCTGTTTCTACATCTTGTTGAAGACTTTCTTGACTTCCATTTGACTTCTTTGAACTCTGTTTTTGTCTTTCAACATTTCCCCCTTTTTTTTCCTTCTCTCTCCCAGATTTTTCTCACTCTGTTAGCTTTCTCTTGTGTTCCTTAAACTGCTTTTTAAAATGTAGTTTATCTCTTTATCAAGCTTGTCTATTAATTTGTCTATTAGTGTTTGTTTCTTTTCTCCTTTAAGGCTGTAGTAGTCTAGTTACACCTATTTTCATTCCATGGTGTGCAAACTTGGTTATTTATTTTGCAGCAAGTTCATTAGTGATTCTTACCCTCTTAGTATGAATTTTCAATAAGAAATAGCAGAACATTTTGCATTTGCATAATGTCCCCTTCTGTAAGCCCATACTTTCTTTTCTATTGTCTAGACTTACTTCCCCAAGCTTCTCTTTCTTCTTTTTCTTTTTCTCACTCTCGTGTCTTCCTCCCTGTATTTTTGTTTCAAGTAGTCATTAATTTCCTTTCCCTTTGGCCCAGAATGGTTTTTCAATAAAACTTTTGAGTAAAAGAATATAAGAATATTATCTTTCAGATTAGCTTCTTCATTCTAGTATATTTAAAACTAATTAAATAATCTGGGCCAAAAGAGAATAACTTTAACATCTGGAATTATTTTTCCCTTTTTTTCCCTTTTTTTGGTGTGTGTGTGTGTGTGTTTTTCTTGTGTGTATGTCTGTGATTTTTTTTTATTATTGTTGTTTCTTTAAACATTAACAATTGTTCTTTTCAGGGAAGGACAACCATAACCCACCCTAAGTTGCAACATTCCTTTCATAAGTTGTTTCATTACAATAGTAGATTGTGTTAAGCAATAGAAATTAATATGTTGTGTATATATATCCATTTGGGGCAAGCTGCTGTGGAGTGGGAAGAAGAGGTGTGCAGTTTAAGTACAATTTCCTCTGATATTAACAAATGTTAGTGCCATCCAACGTGGCTCTTGAATTCAACACTTATAACATTTAAAAGAATGTTCCGCTTTGACCTAAACTATTTGAATCAAAGCATAAGGGTTTCTGATTGATAAACTCTATATAAACACCTAAGAACTGATAAATAAATGAGTTCAATTTTATTGATTTCCAACACAGGCATCTTTCATAGCCCATATTTTATTTAAAACCAATTATTTTAATAAGTAAATAAGTCATTGGAATCACACATAAATATTGTATATGAGGATTTCTCTGTTTTCCACTTATCAACATGTATAATTAAAAATTACTACAATGGAGTATTTTATTATAACTTTATTACTTGAATTGCCTTACTAATCTAGTCAAGAGCTATCACAGTGCCTTAAGATTAGGGGTCTGTATTCATAGCTGAGTATGTGGTAACTTATTTTTTTCCATATACTAATTTCAATGTACATCAATAAAAAATTGCCTTTGGTTTTGCTTCTGTCCCATTTATAATGTACCCCCAATTTTTTTCTAGAAGTCTGCTCTTTCTTTACAGTAAGGAAAAAATATGAAACAAATATAATATATTTTTACTAATATGTTATGATATCTGAGATATGTTAAGCCTTTGCTCCTAAACCTCAGGAGCTTGCCCATTAAGTATGCATACATATCTGGCTATCTATGTTATGAGCCCTAAATTACTGAGTTTATGCTCTCTCTGCAGGTCCAGTCCAGGTGCAGCAGCAAGGAGAACATTCTCAGAGCCAGTAAGTATGTCATCATTTCAGATGGACTACTGAATTAAGAGTTTGCAGTCGACAGGAAGAAGAGCTAAAAATATTTTGGTGAAACAACGAAGAGCAATTGGGGACAGTTTATATAAAGAATATAAATGTTAGGGCTTTCACCTCCTAAAAATATTAGTATCAACATATTAGTGAATATTTCCCTCATTCCAACTGTTTCTGGGAGCTGACAACAGAATTTTGATAGCACTTCTAGTTAGGGTAGTAACGAGTTCCTCAATGATACTACAGTGAGAACCCTCTTTAATTGCCCCACTGCCAAAAAATATTTGAAAACAGACTTAACTGAAAATAATAATATAAATCCACAATAAGAATCTAACTTAAAAAAAGTAAGTGACTCCTGAAAGGAGTCATAATCATTTTGTAAATATGAATTCCTGAAATACCCTACCTTCATAAGCAGCATGTTTTAGAACATAGTGCCATGAACCAAGGATAAAGAAACCTTTGTTTTTTTGTTTGATCACTAATAACATTAACTTGAAGTCATCTAACTTTGTGTATTACTCATTTTACTATCCTATAAAAAGGAAATATAAATAGCTTTTCCTTACCTATATCCTTGAAATGATATAACATTGAAAGTTGTGCCTTAAAAGTTTTAGGATCCTAAAAGTACTATATAAATGCTAATAATTTAGTATTGTTTTCTGTCACTTAAAATTAATCATATCACCCTGTCTTCTCCCTGATCTTTATCAAGAGAAGTACAGGTGGACCATAACTAAATGGGTCTATTGGATACTTATACCACTGAGAATTTTAGTAAACAGAATGATTTATATTTCCAATAGAATGTCTGTATTGTTTAACAATAACAAAAGTAATTGGAGAACTTCAAATAGTTAAAATTTTCTGTTTTATTTTCTTTTCTTTACTGTAAGAATTTCTATTTCTGTGTTGTGAATCTGTTATGTTAGCTTGAAACCCTTGAGTTGGTAGGCAAGCACACTGCAATTGTTTGCCCAGGACGTTTATGTTAGAGTTGTATAAAAATAAATTCAAACAACATGTTTAACAATACTACTGTAGGTTTCCACAATATTTGACAGACATGTGAATCTGAGGGAGGCTCTTCAATACAAGAGACATAACGTTCTGTAATCCCTTACTAAGACCTAAGGTTGAGAAACCTGCGTCAGGGGAGTAATGATAGAATATTCACTAAAATAAAACAATACAGATAAGTGAACTTTAAAAATGACATTTTGGGATGATTACTGTATGATTTCCATTTATTGTTGATCCTGAGATGATGATGGATCATTGATAGTGATTATGATGATTAGGAACAAAAATAATTTCTTACAACAGATTTCTTTGTATTCTCTTACACCTTTATCATGGATCTCTTTGTTATAGAACTGTCTTTTATTTCAGTTATGTTCTTACTGGCTTGTAGGCTATTAACCACTTTGGATGGACATCAGAGTTGTCCAGGTTTCCCTGATCATGTTTTCTTACTGTGAAATAGTCACGTACATGGTCCGTATAGCCATTTAGATCCATGTAGAGAGCCCATCCAACTTCGTAGCCTTGCTGTAAGTTTAAGGTCTTTCCTCTCAACCCCACTTTAGTAACTCATACTCATGCCACTAGCCACACCCAGGATTCTTTCATCACCATGAGCTGTTCTAACTCTGAACTTCTTAACTTCAATATCTCATTGCTTATTTAGTCTACTTTAATCACCCTTAGTTTCTTCCTTTGCCATGAACTATTAATGTTGCAGTCATGTAGATCCTATTAACAGTTCCTCATTCTCTCAGTGCTATGTTCTGCCTTTATTCTTTTGGACCCTTTCTCCCACTGCATGAATTATCCATTCCCCTTGTTTTCCTAGAAAATTCTTTTTTTTTCCTTTTCAAACATGTTTTATTTTATAATGATGCATAAACAAATTCTTATAGAAGAGCCAAATAATACAGAAATATAGAGACTAAGTGTAAATTTCCTCTTTATCTGCTCATCCCACAATATCACTCTTTCCACTATAGACAACAACTATTTTCAGTTTGGTCTGTGCTGCCACAGATCTTTTTTTCTGTGCATATCTATTTTATACATGTATATGTACATACACCATTTTTGTTTGTTTGTATGTTTGTTTCAAGTTCTTATTTAATTTCTAGTTAGTTAACATATAGGGTAATACTGGTTCCAGGAGTAGAATTTAGTGATTTATCACTTACATATAACACCCAGTGCTCATCACAACAAGTGCCCTCCTTAATATCCATCACCCATTTAGGCTATACCTCACCAAACTCCCCTCCATCAACCCTCAGTTTGTTCTCTCTACTTAAGAGTTTCTTATGGCTTGCCTCCCTCACTCCCCCCTCCTTCCCCTGTGTTCATCTGTTTTGTTTCTTAAATTCCACATATGAGTGAGATCATATGATAACAGTCTTTCTCTAACTTGTTTCACTTAGCATAATACACTCTAGCTCCATCCATGTCATTGCAGAGGCAAGATTTCATTCTTTTTTGGTGTCCGAGTAATAGTCCATTGTATATGTATACCACATATTCTTTATCCATTCATCAGTCGATGGACATTTGGGCTCTTTCCATAATTTGGCTATGGTAGATAATGCTGTAAACATCGGGGTGCATGTGTCCCTTTGAATCAGTATTCTTGTGTCCTTCGATTAAATACCTAGTAGGGCAATTACTGGGTCATAGGGTAGTTCTGTTTTTAACTTTTTGAGGAACCTCCATACTGTTTTCCAGAGTGGCTGCACCAGTTTGTATTCCACCAACAGTGAAAGAGGGTTCCCCTGTCTCCGTATCCTCACTGCTGTTTCTTGTGTTGTTAATTTTAACCATTCTAACAGGTGTGAAGTGATATTTCATAGTAGTTTTGATTTGTATTTCCCTGATGATGAGTGATGTTGAGCTAGAAAATTCTTAGTTATCCTTCAAGACTCAGTTCAAGTGTGAGCTCCTCCATGACGTGTTTTCTGAAATCCCCCTAGGCAAGGTAACTATAACTAATTCTTCTTGTATACCCATCCCGTCCCTTGTACTTTAATCATTTTTTCATTTATATACTTAATTACCTATTTTCAAGGAAAACATTTCCAAAATGTAGCCACGGTAAAGAAAATTATACAAGCATACCTCAGAGATATTTCAGGTTTGGTCCCAAACTACCACAATAAAGTGAATCAAAGGTATTTTTTTAATTTCCCAGTGCATATAAAAGTTATGTTTATACTATACTGTAGACTAGTAAGTGTGCAATAGCTTTATGTCTAAAAAACAATGTATATACCTTAATTAAAAAGTACTTTATTGCTAAAAAAAATGCTAACCATCCTCTAAGCTTTCAGCAAGTTGTAATCACCAATCACAGATCACCATAACAAATATAATAATGATGAAAAAGTTTGAAATATTGAAATAATTACCAAATGTAACACAGAGACATGAATTGAGCAATGCTGTTGGAAAAATGGTGCCAATAGACTTGCTCAATGCAGAGTTGCTATATACTTTCAATTTGTTTTAAAAAAAAACACACACAGTATCTGCAAAGCACAAAAGAATGACATTCAATAAAACAAGTTATGCCTGTAATCAACTTCTTTTTTAGCATATATAAAAATTTGTCAAAACAAAACATCAATAAATCCTAGAGAAAGGAAAAAAGTTATACTTAACTTTTAAGATTTAGAACTTGGAGTTCATCTAGAATTGTCGAAGGAGGACTTAACTTTGGTAATGTTTTTCTAAGTAAGAGGTAACTTTCCTTTGGCTCCTCAAAAAAATTATCAAAACAACCTGTTGATAATAAACCTGAGTTTATTCTTCCCATGATCTTTTAGGGTTCCCAGCCCAATTCAGACTTGGGGGTGTCCCCCCACATACAATACCAAACAATTCTCAGACACCAGCAGAATGTCCATGAATTCAACTCAATTCTGATACTGTCTACCCAGAAATAGCATCAGAGTCCACAGGTTAAGGATTCAGTCCTACAAAACTGCCTTCCATAATTCCACTTAAGATGCTAGTCACAAGCCCCATGCTATTACTTGCACTTCTGAAAACCAGTTACAGGTTAGAGGTTCCAGCAACCTCCTCCTTAGGTTCTATTAATTTTCTAGAGTGTCCTGCAGAACTCAGGGAAACACTTTCATTTACTAGTTTATTAAAAGATATGATAAAGGATACATCAACAGCCAGATGAAGAGAAACATAGGGCAGGGCCTGGAACAAAGGAGCTTCTGCCCTTCTGGAGCTTGGGGCCTTGCTCAGTGGCATGTGGAAGCATTCTGGTTCCCCAAGCGTGGAAGCTCTCCATAAAAGAAGGGCCAAAAAGTTCTTCTTCTTGGGTTTTTAATGGAGACTTCATTACATAGTCATGATTGACTAAGTCATTGGCAACTGGCTGATTCAACCTGCAATCCTTCTCCCTCTCCAGAGGTTGAGGGGTGGGACTGAAAGTTCCAACCCTCTAATCACATGGTTGATCCTCCTGGCAGTCAGTCTCCTGCCCTTGGGTGGGGTCCAAAAGTCACCATCATTAATAATAAGATACTCATTTCATCTTAAGGCTCTGAGGTATTTTTAGGAACTGTGGATGAAGACCAAATATATCTGAGAAATATATTTTATCTGAATGACCAAATATATATTTCTTATAAATTTTTAAATCACATATGATATGGGAAAATACCACTAGAATAAAGTTAATAGTCTCAACTAAACTTTCTCAGAAAAGGAAATGCAAACGCAAGATATTTATGAGATTTTGAAGTTTGATTTAAAGCAGATCTTTTAATATGGACCTTAGTTAAAATTAAATAGGGATCATATATAATCATCAAGGAATCATGGACACAGCAAGGCAAGGGATTCTGAGAGTCTTGGTATGTAAATTGTCTTTTGATACTTTCTGTTTAAGAGGTTTCTAGAATGAGTAATAAAGTTATTTACAACTTCTGTCTTAT